GTGGCAAGAGACTGGGAGCACATATGAATGTCTCTTCTGGTCATTTCCTTCTCCTTAGGAAGCACCAGTGTTCAACTCTGAGGGCCAGAACCTGAGACCTTATCTAATCCTCACTTCCTCAAGGCCTCAGGCCTGCAAGCACTGCAGTTGGATTAAGTTTCTGCCTGTTTTTTGCCAAATGATAGGGATTCAGTTTCAATACAGGAGCCCTTAAGGGACATATTCAAACTCTATGCAAACCATAACACTACCTAGAGGATTATTTTGTAAGATTAAAAAAAATGTGCATAAAGCACTTAGAACAGTATGTGGCACACAGTAATTGTTTCATTAATGTCTTTTTATGGCCCATTATACAGCTATTAAAATAAGAATTATAAAATGATACAATAAGAAAAAATCTAATGACACATTTTTAAAGAATCACAATGCTGAAATAGAAAATGTTCCATATGCATGAAGGCTAATAGAAAGCATACAAAAATATAGATAAATGTGTGAAAATGGGGTAGGCTTGGATTCCTCTCAATTTTCTATATTGCTATCATCTTAATAACATACTAAAATAAATATTAAAATACTCAACAGAATATTAAAAAGTCAGAACCTGAGGCTCAGAACAAAAAAGTGCTTCTTAATGAATTCTGTGGCACTGCAACAGGCTAAACAATTAAGACATTATAAGAAGCTTTATAGTTTAGTAAAAGAAGGATAAAAATAAACAACTTCTGTTGGAAAATGTTAAAAGCTTTAAGTCTTCATTCAGGATGAACAAAATAGAGACATCTAAATGACCCGAAGATGAGTGAAGTAGTCAAAGAAAACTTTCTCAAAAATAAAATGTATAATAATCTCAAATAACCTACAGAAACAAACTAACTGGACAAGGATTCCAGGGAATGTATCAAGCAAAATGGGCTTAATGAAGGGCAAGTAGATGAATATGATGACAACACAGGTGAGCCTGTTAGGAGCAGGGGGCAGTGATGTAGGCAGGGACAAGATCCTACAGCCAATGAAGTCATGGCAGCCAAGCTTTGCCCTGAGCACTAGGGCTAACAATTGAGAGATAGTGGAAGAAAGCCTAGCAAGCAGTGAGGTGGCACTGGTGTCAAAGATCTAATTCCAAGGGAACGTGTGGAGAATGGGAATGAGGAGCCTGAGCTCTGTGAAGACAGCATCTTATCTGATGTTTCTTCAGCACTGTCTCTCCAATGCTGGAACAGTGCATCATGTAGGAAACACTGCAGAAATGAAGTGCTATGTAAGTGTTTATTTCAGTGTCATTTACAAAAGTGAAATTATGGATCATGAAACTATGTCTGGCAGAGTGTGTGCTGTGCATATTGTGGGACGAATCATGGACCTATGAGTCTGGAGTTCTAGGTCACAAGGGCTTACAAGTCACTTTTGGACTCTGAAACAAGTGGATGGCAATTAATGGTGTAATTGAAAATGGTCACCCAGTGAAATTATATGGGGTAGGAAAAGCATTAAAGTGTGTAAGGATGGAAGTTGTCCATCAAAAAAAGAAAAGCACTCAGGCCAAAAAGTATCAGAAAGATTAGAAAGAATCGTGCCATGAACAAATTTTTGAGTTAAAAAATAACCACAAGGGTGGTAAAAGGACAGGAAAGAGGCAACTAGTTGGCGATTGGTAATCTCAGTAAGAGCAGTTTTAGAGCAGTTAAGGCAAGGACACAAGGTTAGTTTAAAGAATTAAGTTTAAAGAGTAAAAACATTCCAATCTCTTCCTATTAGTTATCCCTATATCATCACTAGACTTATACATTTCATGAATTTAGTTAATTTTGAAGGTAATTAGTTTTGTGCATCTACCCTGTTAAGATTATCATCCTTCTCCTCTTTCGTTCGTTCCTTCCTTCATTACTTAATGTATATTTATCAAAAAGTGTCAGGCATTGTGCTAGGAAGAAGCCATATTTTATTCAAGTTTATATCCCCATAATTTATTGAGTAAAATACATTTGTATTTAACTTCATAAAATGCAAAGAGGGCTTGGTTATATCTGAATCTGCATTTTACAGCCTTCTAGAAAGTTATTCTAAAAAATAGATTAGAGGGCTGGGGATTTAGCTCAGTGGTTCTGCTATCTGCCTTGTAAGTTCAATCCCCAGTATCAAAAAAATATACATATATATTTTAACACAAACACAAAAGTTATAAAACACAGTATTCATTAGACTGTGCCTAATGACTCATGTAATACATAGGACTGAATTACAACTTCCCTTGTGTATGTAGAACTGCTAGCATCCCGAGCCTTACAGCACATGGTTTACATGGAAGGATTTCTTATGTGTGTCAGGAGTCCCTGGCCCAGGAATAATGTAGTACCTGATACAGCTAGACCAATCTGAGACATTCCTCAGGATTTTTTGAACTGGAATTAGGAACAGGTTGTTATTCTCTAGTGACTTACACCATGGGTGTAAAACTTCTATCTTACTATCTAACCACTTTGTGACTTACAAAACTAGATGCTAATTAAATGCATTAGAAGAACAGAATAGACAGAGCCAGGACAGGCAGTGATCCAGAGGGACAGAAACAGAGACAAAGACTGAGACAATCAGAGAGACAAAGAGTCAGAGGGTTGTGGTTTTGCTACTAAGGGATGAATTACACAGTAGTGTGTTTTTAATGTCTAAACATGAAGTGTGATAAAAAAATATGGTGAAAGCTTAAATCTTAAAAATTTATTACAGTAAAAGACACTTTGCCATTAATCATCAAAGTACCCCTTTTGCTTAGAACACACTTATTCTGTTCCTTTCTGGAAGTTCTTTTCTATGAGTGTCTTTAGTTGGTTTGTCATGGCTGCCTTGACATCCTTAATCATTTCAAAACATTTATTTTTCATAGTCATTTTGACTTTGGGGAGAGCCAAAGAGGCATGGTACTAGATCCAGTTAGTAAGATGGATGAGGACACATGGTTAATATTTTTATGAGGCTGCCTTTCCAATGGATGTCACTGGAGAACAGAATTCAATGTATTTTCAATCACACCTCATAAAGACACTCACAAAAGAGGACCTCCAGAATTGCTTGAAAAAGTGGCAAGAATGCTGGGAAATGTGTTGGAGGGAGGGGAAGTATTTTCAGGGGGATTAATAGCAACACATCTTTTACTGTAATACATTATTTTTTAAATTTTTTTATGGTTGTAATACATTTTAAAATATAAACATTCACTATACATTTTTATAGCCCCTTTTATATGGTAGGAATGATTATCTTTTGCCAAGGCAGATTTTAAAAACATATACACAATAATAATGATTATATCTATATCTGATATACTTCCACTAATGGTTGTTTCTTTCTAGATATAGCTATAAACAATATTTGGGTGTTAACACAAGACTAGTACATCCTCCAAGAGAATATTTCTTTTTAACTATCAAATAATGAATTCATTAAAATTTTTTTTCATTAAATAGTATCTTTACTACTATTATTTCAAAACAAATGTTGGAAGAGTAGTTTTATCTGAAATATATTTCTTTTTCATTCCTTTTCTTCTAAATGTTTTGGATCAGAAATTTTCAAGTGTGCATTCTACAAAAAGGATACAGTTTTGTTTCATTTCTAGTCAACTATTATCTCTTGTAATGGCAAATTTAATCCATTTACCTTTATTTTTCCTACTTTATTTTTAATTCTTTTTATTTTATTTTTGTACCAGGGATTGAATTTGGTACCTTGTGCTTGTGAGGCAGGTGGTGGAACCACTGAACTAAATCCCCAGTCCTATTTTTCCTACTTTAAACATTTGAATAGACACAGTTCTACATAATCATGGGGTCCAATGAGATATTTTGATGCATGAGTGAAAATGCATTGATCAAATCAAGGTATTAGCATTTCCTCTCTTCTAAAATCTTTTGAAACATATAATAAATTATTATAAACCATACTCACCTATTTACCTTAATTGTGATATCTGATTTATTTGGAATCACTTCTAATATTTCATTTGGCATTCTAACTTGCCATGCCTTTTCTTTCCTTTTGCGATTTTCTGCATTCCACTGAGTTCTTTGATTTTTTATTATTAATTTTATGTGGTTACATTTAATATCATAAAATATATACCTAAAGTAAGAAAATATGACCTAATCATGATACCTACCCTTCTAGAAACAATTCAAGGGTATTAGAATGCTTTATTTTGGTATAATTTCTTTCATCTTCTGTAACTACTGTCTTTTTGTTTAATGATTTTTTTTTGCATACTCTCAATTACTTTCTACAACTAGCATATTTATTTGGATTAATTTACATTTCTACCTCTCTTTTTGTAACATTATTACTTCTTGCATATCAAACTTTGGAGTTCAGTCTTCTTATTTCAATATATATCTTCAATAGTAATTGTTTCAGTAAGCATCTGTGACTGGTAAAACTCCTCAGTCTTTGTTCAATACTTTTTTCACTCACATAAAATTTTTATCTGAGAACAGAATTTTAAACTGGGAGTTATTTTTGCCTCAGAACTTTGAAGGTATTATTCCATTGGTCTATGATGCCTATGGTTACTGATGAGAAATCCATGATTTTTTAGAGGCCAGTGAATCTTCACCTCTGCTCTCTTAGGGTTTTTTGGTTGGTCCTGAGAATTAAATTGACATAAGACATATCAGGAGAAAGGAAGCCTACAAATTTACTCCAAATTTTAACTGCTATGAGAGCCTTCATAAGGAAATGATGACCCAAAGACTGTTAAGAGTGGAATATTAACACAGGTAATTGGTCAGAATAGTAAACTTTGAAAAGTGACAGGTCTCACTAAATTGCCTTTCAATTTCTCTTTGTGTTCATTTTGTCTTCTTTTAGTAATTAAAACATTAGAAATATTAGTCCAGATTGTAAATTTCAAAAAATTTTGAGAGGCTTGTCACAGCCCCATGCTGACACTCGTATCTCATCATCACACAATAGACTTCTTTTTTATCTTGTTCAAAACTTAATCCTGTTATTCTTTACTTTGTATGAATATCAGATATTCACTCTTTTACACATGCACTTACAATAAATTTTCAGATTTAACTTGCTTTGTGACTTTTGGCTTCCTTCTATGTTACCTGTTACTTGAAACATTGGTATTGGAGAGAAAGTCCTTTTTAGAACATACTTTTGGGTAGCCATGAACCTTGCCAAACTGTCTGATGTAGGATTGCCCGAGCTAAGCTGGAAGCTGCCAGATGACATATCTACTTCTTACAATCCCATCAATGCATTAACTCTTAATTCAGTGAAGTAAACTAAGACAGGATTACTTTCACACTATCTCCAAAACCACAGGTTGTCAATGCGGCAGTAATTTAAACAGGCTGTTTTCTCCCAAACTCAAAAACGTAACTAAAAGTGGCATTGCAGCCACTAGGAGCTTGCTATGTGTCTGTTATGAGAGAAACCATGGGGGCTGAAAAGTGGAGACACTTTGATCACAGCACTCTGGGAGGCTAAAGCAGCCAAATTCAAATCTGGGTAACAGCGATTTTATTACGTTGTTACTGGGGATGAACCATACCTCAGCGCCCAGAGTTCAATCCCTAGTACAACAAAAACAAACCAAAAATTCCTAATAGAGGTCCACACTGGCAGGAGTCTTAAGACCACAGTGTTTTGGGACTTTTCACAATGCTTGACACTTGGGGGCCAATAACTAGTTATTAGACATAAGTTAAGAATTAAAATAATTTTAGTCATCTACTGCAGATTCATACAACTACAGGCCTCTGTAGCTTGTGCACGGCCTTCTTTCTGTGAAATCATGGGTGGCCCTGAAAAGGGCCTTTTGTGTGACTTTCCCTCCCAATGTTTAGGTCACTTAGACTTGTCACTCGGAGGGATCACTTGCTCTGGACCTTGTGGTGGTGGCTCTCGGTCTTCTTGGGCAGCAGCACGGCGTGGATGTTGGGCAGCACGCCGCCCTGAGCGATCGTCACCTTGCCCAGAAGCTTGTTGAGTTCCTCGTCGTTGCGGATTGCCAGCTGCAGGTGGCGCGGGGTAATGCGCGTCTTCTTGTTGTCATGGGAAGCATTGCCCGCCAGCTCCAGGACCTCAGCTGTCAGGTACTCGAGCACTGCTGCCAGATAAACTGGGGCACCCGCCCCAATGCGCTCCGCATAGTTCCCCTGGCGTAGCAGGCGGTATATACGACCCACAGGAAACTGTAAGCCAGCTCTGGAAGAGCGGGACCTGGCCTTAGCACAGGCCTTGCCACCCTGTTTTGCACGTCCAATCATTCCTCCGCAGGTGACAGGAGATGTATGTGCACAAGTAACCGCTACTGGGCTTATTTATAGTCTTATGGCTGCTTGTGATTTGACACCTGGATGGCTGTCTAGCCAATCAGAAAAGTCGTACTAGAATCACCTCATTTGCATACTGGCCATTTCCGTTATCCAATCAGATAGTGGGTAGACGTACTCATTTGAATGCCGCGCCTATAAATACCACTCTTGCCAGCTTCAAACGGCCTTTGCCGACTTGCTTTTGTCGGAGTTTGCAGTCTGGATTATTAAGTGTTGTAGAGCTATACACAGCAATGCCGGAGTTAACTTCGAAGGTTGCCACAATTTCTAAGAAGGGGTTCAAGAAAGCTGTCATTAAGACTCAGAAGAGGGAGGGGAAGAAACGCAAGAAATGCCGAAAAGAGAGCTATTGTATTTATATCTACAAGGTGCTAAAGCAGGTTCATCCAGACACGGGCATCTCCTCAAAGGCTATGAGTATCATGAATTCCTTTGTCTCTGACACATTTGAACGTATATCGAGTGAGGCATCACGCCTGGTGCATTACAACAAGCGCTCAACCATCTCGTCGCGGGAGATCCAGACGGCTGTGCGGCTGCTGCTGCCCGGGGAGCTTGCCAAGCACGCCGTGTCCGAGGGCACCAAGGCCGTCACCAAGTACAACAGCTCCAAGTGAGACATCTAGCTGACCTTATCTCCACTCCAAAGGCTCTTTTAAGAGCCACCTACGCTTTCTGAAGGAAGTACTGTACACTTGTTACCTGATAAGCCAGACAGACCTTTAGCTTCAGCACCAATATGTTGACTTTTAAAAGTTTGCCCAGTACTTGCAAGCTTTCTGTTAGAGGGAGATTAATTAATCCAGTGGCTCTCCAACATTACGATCATAACACTAAAAGTGTTCAGGGCTGGGAATGTAGCTCCGGTAGAGTGCTTGCCTAGAGTGTGAGAGGCCCTGTCCTGGTTTGCATCCTGAGCATGGCCGAAAAGGTTTAGTCTGTTAACTACCTAGCCAAATTGTTGGGTTCCAAAAACAAAAAGGCAAGATTTTCACACTTCAGTGCAAATCTGTTCTGAAAACAAATGTGTAGAGAAATGTACAGATGGTACACTGAGCTTTGGGACTCAAGTTCCAGCTAGCCTGAACCATTGGGAAAATTTCCCCCTCCATACTCCACAGCCAACATAAACAGGAAGAAAGCCTTAATTCTACGTCAGACTTCTCTAAGGTTTTCTCAAGTCTATAGCTATGGGCCTCTTTGGCTCAGTTACCTGATGAAGGGTTTGATTTGGTAAGAGATGACCTGGAAAAGGCAAAGGTCTGCTTGCTCTCCATGGCATTCATCAGTAGACACATCCATTCAGAGCTGGGGTTATAAATTTGCAGGCTCTCTGAATTGCTTCACTGGAAATGAATTTTCACTGAAAGTGTGATAGTTAATAAATTCATACACTCCACAGAACCAGTGTAGTCAGCTGTTCTGCTTGCTTTATAATTGAATGTAAAAGAAAATGGCTTAAATTAGAACAAATACACTTGATAAACCATGAACTTATTACTCTTAAGCAACAAAACTTATGATCTTCACCTGGTGGCTGGACAATTTTGCTTGCTGGTGGTGTACTTGGTAACAGCTTGGGTGCCCGCAAACACCATGGGCCTGGCCAGCTTCCCTGACAGCAGCAGCCACATGGTAGTCTGGATCTACCCAAGGTGTGCTCAAAGGTATCACAGACAAAAGTACTCACAATGCTCATGGCCTTGGAAGAGATCTGGAATTGGGGTGCACCTGCTGCAGTACCTAGATATAAACATCTCTTTTGGTGGCCTGTCCTGTGCTTGCTCCTACCGCCCTTCTAGTCTTAATGACCACCTTCTACAAGCCCTCTTAGTGCAGTTGCATGTAAGATTGGTATTGCAAGAGTATATCCAAAAGGTTCAAATTAAGAGTCTGACACAAAGGGAGCTGTGGTAGTTATAGGACATTATGCACATGATGTTTTTTATCATCCGGCATGTGATTGGATACTGGCTTGTGTGTAACTGAGGTGAAACCTGTATGGTTTCTGATTGGATGATGGCTAAGCAATAGATGAGTCACACTCTGCACTCAGGCTATAAACAGGCCAGAAACCTGCCTTAACGGTAATTTTTTTCAGTTACAACAGAATCTTCTGAGCTCTGCCTCAGTGTGGAAGGGTCCAGGCTAAGCCCTCATCTCCTTGGTTCCCATCGTCCACTGAGTACACTTCCAGCTCTATGAGTACTTAGGATCTTGGCATTGTACCTGGAGCTGGCCGGCAAAGCACCGAAAGGATGACAAGCCCGAGTTGAGGAGAAATGTGTCCACAGCTTTGAATCCAGGCTGCAATGCTGCCCAGATACTGGGAATCGCCACCACCAAGATCAGTGCTGTCAACGTTTTGCATATTACTCAGACCAGTGAGCGGCTGGCACTGGAGGGGAAGAGAGCCACATTTATAAAGGAGTTACAGAGAACAATAACAGCAGATTCACCAGTATGAACTGAGTGCAGATTCACACCTTAACTGAGTGCAGCTTTCCCAAAGGAGCAGGACCCAGTACTTCTTTCTGCTTATAGAGGTGCTCATTTTAGTGCTCAGTAATATTGACAGAGGAACTTAGGGTCCTAGGTGGAACTGTGTCAGAACCCACTTAGGGCTGATAAAGCAGTCCTGTAGCTGAATTCTGGCAGTGGAGATGCTAACACTATTGGGAAAGGAGCACATCTACATTAGGGCATGATTGTGACCATCTAAGAATGAAGATGTGGAATCTCATGTCGGGACTTCTTTAGGTAGAGGGTACCCCTACCACATCTAGTGATTCAGCCTAATTCTATGCCTATTTTTAAATGAGGATACAGTTCGATTAAGTGGTTGAATTGAAAGCAAAGAAAAAGATAAACTTTGTAAACTCTAATGCTTACAGGTCATTATTAAGCAGCAATTTTATCCATTTTACTGCAAGTTTTTGCAAGTATCTTTCAGCAAGGAATTTCTAAGAACTCTAGGATGGTTATGTTCCTTGAAGTCTGTAAAGCACTGCCATGTTAACAAACCAAGATAGAAGGCACATGTGAATCTTTGATAGTTTATAGAATACTTAGAAAATGTCTCAAATAAAAACCTAATGCCATTGTGAAATTTAGAGCAAAGTGACAAGCTTTCTATCACTACTCAGAAATATCAGACACTGGATTCTACCACCGAAAATATTGATTTTACTACTGAAAATTTATTCTACCATTGAATATGAAGCAAAATGTTGATTTTTTAGCACTCCTTGTTAGTAAACACTGAAATATCTGAGAACAGTAAAGCAGCCAAATATAAAATTTCTATACAAAAACAAAAAAGCCCAAATTCTTCAAACATTGTAAAACAAAGCAGAAGTCTTCACACTTATAGCAAGCTTACAGATATTTTTTAAAAAACTTGCAAAGTTAAAAATTATTTTCTTAACAATGCTTGTGTCCATAAAATTATCTCCAAGCCTACAGAACTGAATACATAGGAGAACTGTTTGTTGGAAATTATTAAACCTCTTAGAAACTTCACTTAAAAGGAATGGAAAATAAATTTAGGAATTATTTTAAAAATATAAGACATAGTTTTAAAGAATCTATGTTAATATATTTGAAAATATTGATGAAATGTAACAGTTTCTGAAATAGTAGCATAAATCACTTAAAGTAAACCTAGGAAGCAGTGAGGACTAAGGAGTATGGAGAAAAAGCTGGGGTCATTGGTGACTTCACATCCTCAAGCTTCAGGTAAAGGAGGACTTTAAGGAAAAACAAGTTTCTCCAACCTAGGTGGTTCCCCTTTACACTTCCCCTCCCTACAGCTTTTGTTCTTTGTTCTATTACAAGTAAAATTAATAACTTTGCCCCAGTAAGTAAGGTTTCACAACCTCCTGTTCTCATAAGATCCTGTTTTTACCTGACCAAGGCCACCAAGAGATGCTAAGTTGCAAAGCTGTCACAGCTTGACTGATTACCTTTGTTCTACTTCTGTCCACAAGTTAGGTAGACACCCCCGCCCCCTGCAACACATATAAAACTAAAGCTCTTCCTTTGTTCTGGGGTCAGCCTTTGGACATGAGTCTGATGAGCCACTGTGCACCTAAATAAATCTTCCTGTTTCACCCATTGTTTTCTCCGATGTCTCACATTCCGCAACAAGGCCTTCATGAATGTTTCCTCTTAGAAACATTATCTTAGAAAAGATAAATCAACAGCTAATGAATCCCATTCATATTTGCTCAGAAATATGATAAAACTCAATGAAGAAAGCATGCTACTAAGTGTGGAACATTCTCAGTCATGAGTAAGAATCTACAAATCTTCCTTTAAATGTAAACAACCAACACTGTAAAGCCCATTAAAAGTTAACAATGATGGGTTGGGACTGTGGCTCAGTGGTAGAGTGCTTGGGAAGCATGCACAAGGCCCTGGGTTGGATCCCTAGCATGACAAAATTAGTAAATTTTTTAAAATTAACAATGACAAGCTAGGATCCATCTAAGAATACAAGATTGGTTGAATATTAAAGTATAAACTTAATTCACTTCATAAAGTTAGAAAAAAGTTAATCTCATGTTAAACCTCAATAGATGTTTAAAAAAGCACTTACTAATATATTTATTTGGGTAAGTTTTTTCTTAGTAGAGTACTAGTAATTTTTTTAGCAGACTTTCCCAAACACTATTGTTTTTTTTTTGGTACCGAGGATCAAACTCAGGACCTTGCGGCTTTCGAGGCAGGTGCTGGAACCACTGAGCTAAATCCCCGGCCCCTAACTATTGTTTAATGTTATTATAGATTATTAAACTTAAAAATATTTAGATTCAGCAGCACTAGAGAAGAATAAAAAATTAGGTGCAAGTAACTCCTAGAGAGGAATGCCCCACAGTTAACTGTGAAATAATATTGGAATCAACAATCTCCTCAGAGAAATCCACACTTACCGAGAAGGAGCTGTCATCAAGTTTCAGTAAGTCATTTGTATTCAATGTAATAACTGCAGCTCCTTAAAAATGCTAGTACTTATCAAGTTAAATAAAGTGGAACTTTGTTGCTGAGTGTTGGCTGTTTTTCATTTATAAATTTAGAAATGAAGTATTCCACTGAAATTGGACTGAGGAGAGGGAATTAAAGATAAATGAAATTAGGAATGAGCAAGGACAAACGTCTTAGTTTTAAAGCCCCGATGAAGAAATAAGCATATCTGATTATTCTCTAAAGTGAGTGAATGAGGAGTGGAGCTATTAAGAGAGCAGTCTTGCTCTAACATGGTCTGTTGTACAAAACACAAACAAGGGAGCTGCCTTAGTCCTCTGATAAATGCATTAGAAACATCCAATATGGGAACAACACAGAATTAAAATGTACAAACTATGTAGCAGAGTTGAGAGGTTTTAAAAGTTTTTGTTTTTGCTACAATAAACAAATTAAAAAATGTCTTTTTCTATATGACTATGTCATACTCAAATACACACAGATAACCAATAACTAAAGCAAGTATTCTAAAACAATATACTACTGTGGAAGGATTCTGAGGTTACTATTCTAAGTCATTGTCTTGTTCTTTTGTTCTCCTGTGTATATTATATTATAATCAGCCCATGACTTTCTGTTTGGAACATGACTGGGATGATGGGAATGGTCACCAGGGCAGAACACTTAGCATACAGGGTTAGCCAATAAAGCAACTACACTTGCTGGATGCCCAGTGGCTCAGAGCCCGTGAGTGCTCCCCAAGCTAAGCCAGTAAAATCTTCCCTGGTATTTTCAGACCTAGAGATTGAAGGGGAACAAAATAGGGCTGCTGGGCAATTCAAAGACTTTAGAAAATTAATCCTGATTTTCTTTTTGGCAGCAGAATTAATGGCTGCACAGGCATCAAAATATAAGGTTACTGTGTCTCCAGGCTTTGACTTCTTTGTTTTGTTTATCAAGGGTCCCAGCCTCACCCTGTACCTGGAGACAGTCATGAGTTTGGACTCCCAAGTGGTTTCTATTTCTGGGTTGAAGCAGAGGAGTGAGGTACCATCCCTCAGCTTGTAGATCTTATAAACAGTTTGGCTATGGGAGCAGGTCCTGACAATTTTTCCCATTGGAAGAGTAATAGGTATGAAAAACAAGACAATCATAGTGGAGATCCCTGACTGTGTGATGTGCAGGCAGGGCTGACAGTCATCAGTTGCTCCTGTGAGTGCTTTTTCTGTCATGAGTTTCATGTGTATTGTCCCCAGCGTGAAGAAGATGAGGATCCACATTTGGGGTTGGCGGAGGTTGACGAGGGTCTTTCTTGAGCCAGGATGATTTTTTGTGTTGTGGCGAGGGTTCTTGGTACACCTCCATTTTGGGGTGCTGCCTTTTTTACATGACTGTGGTGGATCCACAGGACGACTCCTTCCACTTGGACTGCTGTGGGGGTGGTCAGAATGACTGTTAGTGTTCTCCATCTAGGCTTAAGACAATCCTGATGCCAGTCCTTTACCCAAACTGAATCCCCTGGAGAGAAGGGGTGGAGAGGACTAGATATGCTAACAGGGGCCCTTTCCAGTGCCCAAGAAGCTATCTTTTGGGAGACTTTCTCTAACTCAATTGAACATTTTGCTAGGGAAGTTTCTCCCACTACTTCTATGGGGTGTGCCAGTCCCCTCAGGATGGGAGGAGGCCTGGCAAACAAAATTTCATAGGGTTTATAGCCTGTTCTCTTGTGGGGGTGCATTGTGTCTGGAGGAGCACAATGGGTAAGGCCCGAAACCAGTTGAGTTCTGCCTCTTGACAGTTTTCCTAACCCTGTCTTTAGGGTTCTATTTATTTTTTCTACCTTTCCTGAGCTCTGGGGCTAATAGGCCGCATGTAAATTACAATTGATTTCCAAGGCTCATGCCACTCCTTGGTCCACAGTTACCACAAAAGCAGGACCATTGTCCAATCCCATGCTCAAAGGTAGCCCATAGTGGGGAATAATTTCCTGTAGCAACCTTACTGTCATTTCTTGGGCCTTGTCAGTTTGCCAAGGGAAGGCCTCTATCCCACTGGAGTAAGTGCAGAGCATAACCAAGAGGTAACGGACGCCTCCACACTTGGGCAGTTCTGTGAAGTTGACTTAGTTGTTTTCAAAAGGTGCCACCCCTATCCTTTGGACCCCTGCTGGGATTCCTGACAATGCTTTTGAATTGTGTTGGTCACAAATGACACACTGCTGGGTGATTTGTTTTGGCAGGGCTGTCACTCAACCACAGAAGTAGCAACCAAACAAGGTCTCTAATTTTTCCCTCCCGAGGTGAGTGGTTTGATGCAGCATCTGTACTAGCCAAGGTCCCAGGTGGAGGGGCACTATGGCCTGGTCATTTGGGAGTCAATATCATCCATATCTTCCTTTATTCCCTCCTTCTGACATTGTCCACTGAATTTCTTCTGGCACATATGTCGGTAGGAGGTAGGGGTTGTTCTCCCAGGGGACCAGAGAGAGGAGTATGCTCTCTGATCTCAGGTTCCTGGCCTTGGCTTCTTCATCTGACCTATGGTTGCCTAATTGTTCTTTGGATCTTTTGTTTTGATGCCCTTTACAATGGATAACAGCAAATTCTCTATTAACTCAGAATGCCTCTAAAAGCTGAAGTATGCCTTGGGGATGCTTAATCTCCTTACCTCCTGCAGTAAGCAGATGCCTTTCTCTATAGAGGGCCCCATGCACATATAAGGTCAGGAAGACTTATCTTGAGTCTGTGTAGACACTTACTCTCTTTCCCTTTCCTAACTCTAAGGCACACCTTAGGACAATCAGCTCAGCCCTCTGTGCTGAGGTCCCTTATAGGAGCAGTTGAGCCTCTACAACTTCCTCCAGTCACAACTGCATAGCCAGCCCTTTGTCTTCTGGTCTCATCTACATGACTGCTTCCATCTACAAAAAGCTGTAGTTCTGGCTGCTGAAGAGATTGGTCATGAAAGTCTGCTGACTGAGTAGACCTATTCTATGACTTCTTCACAGTCACATAGGGGTTCATCAGTCTGGGGAAGGAGGGTAGCTGGATTTGGGTTGTCTCAGACCTCCAGCCTTATTTGAGGGTTCCCACAAGCTGGTACTGGGTCAGGTACAAGTTGGTGAGCCAGTGGGGACCTTTACCATTCATAAGAGTGACCACAGCATGTGGAACTCACACTCCAGGTCTTGCCCTAGAGTCAGTTTGTCAGCCTCCTTGGTCAAAAGAGCAGTTGTGACCAGAGCTCTCAGATGGGGAGGTCATCCATGTGCAATTCCATCCAATTGTTTGGACAAGTAGGCCACCAATCTCTCCTAGGAACCCAGGGTCTGGACAAGTACCTGTACCATGGTCTTCTTCCACTCAGTCATGTAGTGGGTGAAAGGCTTGTTTTGGTCAGGAAGGCCCAATGCTAGAGCTTCTTGGGGCCTCTCCTTTAGGGCCTTGAAAGCAGCCTGCTACTCTTTTTTCCAGTTTAGGGAATCTTTTTCTCACCTTTTTGTAGCTTTATAAAGGGGTTTTGATGGGTCCCTGTTTGTTTGGGCAGGGCTCAGAGATAACCAGAATTTGAGAAGGGGGTCCCTCAGCCATGGGAGTGGACAAAGGACTAGTTGCACCCATCAGTCCACATAAGGAAATTGATCTGGGTGTCCAGGATTTCCTGTCACAACTTGTCACACTTTCTGGACTAAGGCTTTTTCTAAAGAGCCCTATGGAGTCCTCCCAACCGAAAGGATAGCCCATCCACCTCACAAAAGGTCCTAAGTTTCCTAGGAATGAGTTTTTGACCATAATCTTCATTGAATCCCTTGTTGAAATGATTGATCATAACCTCTAATGGAGTGTTCTTACTGTGGCTCCCACCCATGTTCTCATCTCCCACAAAAATAGACAACACCAACTGCTCCATCCATCACTGGCCAGTCTCCTCTCGGAGATAATTCAGGGTCCTCTTAGCATTGGCAGGCCAGTGATTCTGGCTGTCACTGCAGTGCTGCTCTAAGCTGTATGAGGTGGCTTTGGAACCTTGGGTTGGGACTCTGTACTTGCTTTGGCCCTATTCATCCAAACCAGAATTCAGAGTGAGTTGCCCATCTCATTCCCACACATGCACTCACTGATTCAGCCAAACAAAACTCCCTCCCACCAATGGTGGCCTGAATTGTTCTGGTTTCACTGCACTCCAGCAGCTAGTCAGGGAACACTGAGGGTGATCAGCCCTCTCGGGAGATCCGTCCCTGGATCTTCGCTCTGAAATGGGGCCCCTCAACCTTATTGTGATTCAGATGTCTGCTAAATGCCATTTGGTCCTCTCTGTGTCAGCTCTCCTTGGACAGCCAGCTGGGGTACCTTGACTGGCCATTCAGGGAGACCTCCCACATGACAGAAAATATTCCGTCATCACTTTCTTTGCAGGAGTTCACTGCTCAGTCAGCCAAGCCCCCTGCTCTGCCCATGGGGGAGGCAATCTGTCACAAGTGGTCATTTTGTACCCCAAAGCCTCCTGGCTGGCTCACCAAATGAAGTGTGAAACTGTGGGATACCCAAACTCAGACATGGAGTAGGAACAAGAAGAGATTTCTTGCTGGCAGCTCAGTAAGGAACTCCTGTCACCTCAAGAGCCCCAAACAGAATTTTGCCTTCATTTTTATGTCCTTAAATGTCTATGGGGCTTTATCTCATTGGAGGGGAAATAGCAGGCAAGATTACACAAGCAGAGCAGTGATTTGGGGGGAGTGGGGTATTCTGACAGGACTTTCTAAGACTATTATGCTCCTGTGGTGATCTATTACAAAAGCAGTTATGGGCTGCTGGGTTCTTTTCACAATGAGAGGCTGTTTTCTCTCTCAACATAGCTTGGCTTGTGCCAAGGAATGCAAAAGATCCCTGGAAGCCATCATAACTAGGCTAGAGGCCCAGGTCAAAGTCTTCCTGGAGTAGCTAGAAGAAACCAGTTCTGATAACACCTTGATTTTAGTCTTCTGACCGCTGTGATACAACTGACAAGGGACAAATATCTAGCATATATGCAGAATATCTAACTGTAAACATTTAAACAATCCTATTAAAAATGAGCAAAAGCTGTGAAGGGACGTTTCATTTAAAAGGACATACATATAAACCCATGGAAGGGGTTTATATATGTATCATATAGAAATGCAAATTAAAACCACAATGAGATATCACTTAACATTTATTTGAACATGTAAAGTCCAAATTACAGACATCATCACATGCTGGTGAGGATGTGAGATGAACTCATTCACTGTGGGTAGAAATGCAGAATAGTGCAACTACTTTGGAAGACAATTTGGCAGTTTCCTATAAAACAAAATACTATTACCACATCATCTGGCAGTTCTGCTCCTAGGTATTTATCCAAATGAGCTGAACACATATATCCACACAAAATCCAGTACATGAATGTTTACAACAGCTTTATGAATAATTGCCCCAAATTGGAAGTAATCAAGATGTTTCTCAGTAGGTGAATGAATAAAGTGTGCTTCATCCATACAAATGGAGTATTATTCAGAGATTTAAAAGATAAGACACTAAGACACAAAAAGACATTAAGGAACCTTAAATATACATTGCTGAGTAAAACAAGTGAGTCTGAAAAGACTACAGTATATACTATGTGAATCCAACAATATGACATTCTGGAAAAGGCAAAACTATAGCAACAGTAAAAAGATCAGTGACTACCAGATGCTCTGGGATGCTGAAGGAGTAGTAGGAGGAGTGAATAGATAGAACTTCTATGGGATTCTATAGGCTGGCATTATCATGAAATCAAAACTAGACAAAAGTAACACAAGACAACTTGAAGCTAATGTTAGTTGGAGAGTTAAGTGCAAAAATCCTAAACAGAATAATATAAAATTGAATAAAGCATTTTATTAAGGAAAAATACACTGAGAAAGA